AATAATAGCGCCTACTTCCAGCATACTTGGGAATTATACTGTTACTCAAGGACATAAACGGATAGGTTGTTTTTCTATCAATAACTTCACATGAGGTTGAGCTTGTTGAACAGCTTTACAATATTTAAAAAGAAAAAGTTTTGTGTACACTGACCGGAAGAATCTATGCGATCCTGGGTATTAGAGGCTGTCATAGGTGCACATATATTTGAGACATCCTGGAAACAAAACAAAAGAAAAATAAAAGGAAAGGAAAGAAACACTTTATGCTTTACATTTAAAAATTGGCATCTGCTTATTTGGTGCCTTGTGTGTTTGTCAAGGGCAGCTTGACTGCTGTTGAAACACTGTGCTTCCCCAGAAAGCAGCAGGTCACTCACCCTGTCTTCAGGGTGTGCACCTTCTATTCTCCAAGATTGCATCACTCCTTCTCCCCCTTCCGGCACAGGAGCGAACCGTGTCCCCAGTCCTTCCGGCTGTCTTTGTCTGCAGCAGCACATGAGCAGCAGGAGAGGTGCCACTGTCCACGAGAAGGGGTAAGAAAGAGTTATGCTAAATAAACTAGTATTAAAAAAAGAGTCAGCTTGGGGAGGGGGAAGAGAAGGAGTGAAAGAAATGTGCAACAATGATTGAATGAAAATCTAAGTTTCTGTAAATTTTTGTTAAAATCACAATTAAAATAAAAAATTAGGGGGGGAAAAAAGAGTATGACTGCCCAAGAAAGGGACAGAAAGAGTTAAGTCTGCCAACTAATTTCAATGTGCAGCCGGAGCTGAGAACGATTGACTTGGAGGAATGAAGAAACCTCTCCACACACAGAAAATTTATATCTATCTATCTATCTATCTATCTATCTATCATCTATCTATATCTCCAAGAAAACAAACAGATTCAGCCTGGAGAGGATTTAAACCAGGCAACTCCTTGGAGGCAAGGATTCTGGGGCTTTGTCTGACATACTTTGGACATGTTGCCAGGAGGGACGGGTCCTTGGAGAGGGACATCATGCTGGGGAGGGTGGAGGGACGGCGCAGGAAGGGAAGACCCTCTATGAGATGGATTGATTCGGTGACTGGGGTAATTGGGATGGGTGTGTTGGAGGCAGTGTGGTTGGCACAGGATAGAGCAGGGTTTAGGGCTGTTGTGCATAGGGTCGCTATGAGTCGCAAACGACTTGATGGCACATAACAACAACAACATATCTCTATATCTCTATCTCTATCGCTATCGCTATCTCTATCTCTGTCTCTGTCTCTGTCTTATCTATATCTATATATCTCTGTTTCTATCTATCTATCTCCAATATTACTTTGAAAATCACTCATGATCCTTGAACAGCTTTAAAAACCCACAGATTATTTTGAGAGACAACTTGCCACAAAACATCAGTTATTTTTTAATACTGCAAAAGTTGATGCTTTAGTCTGTACTCATCCATATTAAAATATCTTAACAGTGTGATTTGAAGTATCTACTCATCTTTACTTTCAGAACCCATTTTTTAATCCCCATGACATCTAATGATCACAGGGGAAACTAAAAATATTTTAAAGTATCTCTCCTTTGAGGGCCTGCTTATTTTTTTTAAAAAAAGTATTTATGGTGAGAAATACCTCTTTGTAAATGAATGATCCTTAGATACTTTATGAATTCTGTGATGATGGTCCTACCTTTGATAAGAAAAACCCAACTGTAAAAATGAACCTGTTACTGAGGAACTGGGATTGACAATCTCATGTATTACTGAGAAGAACTGCCCAGCTAAGGGTTTCAGCACTACGTGAGGAGGAGATTGCCCAGGTGGTACCTCTAGGCAAAGTTTGAATCACCAACCTTTGGTTATTAATTGACTTGCTTAGCAATTTACCCTCCCCAAGACTTCTATCACAAACCCACAGATTGTTTCTCTTGTCTATACTCTTCTCTAACTTGCAACTACACCAAAGTGAGCAGCTTGCCTGTGTCCACACGTCCCTACTGACTCCTCCCTGCCTGGAGATCAGACCAGCTGGCATATGTCAATTATGAGCCCTAGTCTGCTTTTCCTGTCACTCTTGTATTCTCCACTTAGTGTGCGGCTTTCTTCTGCACTTCTCTCTCTCTTTTTTTATGCTTATGCCACTTCTTTGTCTGTCCTATGTTTCTCCATACTTAATTTGGAAGTATTCTCATCTTTTAAGACCCAATTCTGAAGGTACTTCTTTCATAAGGAATTTCCCAGCCTGCCCTGTTGAATTGTTTCTGATTCTCCGTTCTCAGAGCTCTTTACTGAAATCTTTATTATAGAATGTTTTCTATTCTTTACTAACTTATGATTACTGCTCCGCGTGCGCTTTCCCTCTTTCTGACCCTCACTACCTCCTAGACCAGATGCTTAGTTATCCTAATTGAATATAGCCCTTTATCAGCCTCATTATTTCTTGTTCAAGCACCTAAAAATGGCTAGAAGTTATTAAAATAATAATGGCCCATTAAATCTAACCACCTCAGTGAGACTATAGGAGAGAATTTGATCATATACTTACGAAGCAGCATTAAACAGCCGAGAGCAATCATGCCCATCCCTGCAGGGCCAAGACCAACATTGGAGTCTCCAATTCCGTTGTCAGTGACAAACCCATTAATGTCGCCGCTATTGGAGCTGGCGTCCCCAGTGTAGATGGTGGTTGTACTGGGGTCCAAACACATGTGGTTGCTGTCACAGTCACAGGCATACAACTGTACAATCTGGGAAGACTCGCATGCCCTGTGATAGCTGTCCTTCACTAAGATGGGGATCTGGTAGAGTTCAGGAAATAAAGGCTGTACAGCAGTCAGGATTGCTGAGGTAGCTGAAAGGAAGGGAAGGAACAGAAAAGAAATTACCATTATTGGGAGGCAAATTCCCTAACCCCCAAGACTAGCTTAGAAGTCTGCTTCCCAGTGTCCCATTAGATCTCTCAGGACTTTTTTAAAAAACAAATAAGGTATTAAAATCTTTATTCTTTACATTATTTAGTGCATTATCAATCTAAGGTCTTGTCAAAGTTGGATGCAGAGTTGTTTGTTTTTTATCTTTTGATTTTTTAAAAAAATTTTATTATTAATTTTAATGAAAATTTACAGAAACCTTGGATTTACATTCATTCATTGTTGTACTTTTCTCCCTGCAAACTCCTCCCCCCCCCAGCACACGCCTCTCCTTGAAAAGTAAGAAAAAAAGTTCTTTCATTGTTTTACAATCCCCACCCCAAGTCTGCTCCACTATGCAGTCTTCGTTCTGGACTCCTGTCACGACAACAACACCCAATCACATATCCCTTTTAAACTGTTCTCTCCCTCATCTGCTTCAATGCAGTATACATTATTTATCCTATCTTTCTCAGTCTTCTCCCTACACTGATGTCAGTCTCAGTATTATTTTTTTTTAGATGATATTTTGTGTATATTTTATACAGTGTTAGCTTAGGTACCAGTACAAAAATATAAGATATATAGCATATAAGACATTTTTACAAGAGTCTTATACAGTAATTTGATATTTGGATTTATGTGAACTGATAAACACATACATAAAATACTGTTTACGTAGACTCAGGACTTTTTAAAAAATGTTTTCTTGGGTGAAGATTTTTCAGAGCACATCAGCTTTCCATTCAACAACCCATACCCATTTTTGGTATGATTTTACAGGTAAATTGTGTTTATATTTAACAATTGATAGACATTTTGTTTTTGACATTAATTGTAATCCCTGCAATCTAACACTATTTATCCTACCTTCTTCCTAAATTTCCTGCTTCCATTCTTCCTTTTGTTTCTGTCTTTTAAAACTTGTCCTCGGGCAGCACCTGCTTGGCTTTGGCTTTGAATGGGTTCATTGTTCTAAAGAGTATATTCCTCACACTCCTGAGCCCCTCCCCGGTGGTGTTGTTTATCCTACAGACATATTCATTGTTGACTGAAAATTGAGCCACATAGATTAACTTCAAAACAATCTCAGGAACAGGTTTGAGGCCTTGAACATCAAGGAGTGAAGACCAAATGAGCTGTGGAAGGATATCAAGAAGAGTGCAAAAGGTCATTAAGAAGGCAGAGGAGGAAGAAAAGACCAAGATTGATGTCAGATGAGACTCTGAATATTGCACTGGAGTGCCAAGGGAAGAAAAAAAAAATTAAGGAGATGAACAGAAGATTTCAAAGGGCAGCTCAGGAAGACAAAGCCAAGTATTATAATGAAATGTGCAAAGAGTTGGAGTCAGATAATCAAAAGGGCCGCTCAGCATTTCTTAAGCTGAACAAATTGAAAACCAAATTCAAGCCATGAGTCGCTGTACTTAAGGATGCTTTTGGCAGAATATTAAGTGATCCAAGAAGCATTAAAAGAAGATGGAAAGAGTATACAGAGTCATTGTGCCAGAAGGAATTGTTTGACACAGAAGAATTTCATGAAATAATATATTAACAAGAGCCTGTGGCGATGAAGGAAGTTCAAGATGCTCTGAAAGAATTGGCAAAAAACAAGACTCCAGGAGTTGATGGCATACCGACTGACATATTTCAACAAATAGATGTTGCCCTTTATGTGCTCACCAAGTTGTGCCAAGAAATCAGGAGGACAACCACCTGGCCAACTGACAGGAAGAGATCTATATTTGTTCCCATTCCAAAGAAAGGTGACGCAACAGAGGGCAGAAATTATCAACTAATATAATTAATATAACATGCGTGAAAGATTCTGATGAAGATTATCCAAAAGTTACTGGGACAGCACATCAACAGAGGACTGCTGAAGTGCAGGCTGGATTTAGAAGAGGCCGTGGTACTAGGGATATTATAGCTAATGTTAGATGGAACCTGGCTGAAAGCAGAGAGTATCAGAGGAATGTCTATTTGTATTTCACTGGCTATGCAAAGGTGTTTGTGGATCACAACAAATAGTGGCTTACTCTCAGAAGAATGGGAATCCCAGAACACTTGATTGTGCTTGTTAGTCTGGGCAAAGAGGTCCAAAGAGATGAATGAAAAATTCAGAACTCAAATGCTGATGGCCTTGCTGTTGAAGATAATAAAATGGCCTTGCCTGTCTGACTAAGCTAGCAGGTGGCTCATAAATCAGAGTGGAATATCCCTCCCTAAAGACTCTGTTTATAAAAATCCTTCCCAGTAAGTTCACAGTGTGACTTCCCATTCTGCATCTCCAGGATGAGGAACTCACCCAGGAGCACCCTTCCCCCCCGCCCCTTTAATAAAGCTACATTAAGCTTTCTCTCGTTCTCTCTGATTTCTTCTTTAGGTCCACTAACCTAACAGTGCTTATGTGAATCCTATACTTGGGCCAAGAGGCAGTCATCAGAACAGAGCAACAGAGCAAGGAGACACTCAGGGTTTAATATCGGGAAGGGTATATGCCAGAGATGTATTCTGTCTTCATACCTTTTCAATCTATACACAGAACAGATTATCTGGGAGGCTGGGCTGTATGAGGAGTAATGTGGCATTAGGATTCTTTATGGGAGCTCTGTGCACTCCCAAAGGTACATGGTCCAAAACTACTAGCTGCTCTGCAAGAGAGAGATAGGCAATCTCCTCCCATGTAATTAATTGTCTCTGAAAAACCAATGAGGATCTGACTCAACAGTACACAATAACAACAACAATCTTTAAGGAAGCAGATGTCCACACCTTTTGCCTGTTAATGGCTGGTGGATTTGAACTGCTAATTTTTTGGTTAGCATCTGAGTTTAGCTAACACACTGCCAAGGCTCCCAATTCCAAGTACAAATATGAAATATTATTTTTGTTTGTTTTATTTAATGTAAATGTGGAAAGAAGCATAGAAAAAAGGATTCTTAAGTAACTTACCTGTTATTGGTGTTGATTATCTTTGAGTCGACCATGACCCATAGCGACCCTATGAACAAAAGGCCTGAAGTCCCTCTACAACCATCAACATTTATCAAAGTTCATAGAGTTTCCGGAGGCATGTTGTTCAGGAAATGGATGCAACTCCTGCTTCCAAAAATAACTTACTACTTGTTCTGATTTCCTCCCCCCACCTTTGTGCTTAAATTATGAGCAAGTTTGTAGTTTACTTACCGTTTATGGATCTAATATCCCATAAGTCAGCTGTTCCTGGTGGCTGGTCAACCACACAGAAGGTGAAGGGAGAGCCATAAGAATGTTCATGAATGTCTCTTGCAGAGATAAGGACTGAAGGAGAGGCAACGCAGATGGTTCTGCTTTCAGTAAAGATGACTGGACAGTAGTCATTGACATCAGGCACCTCAATACATATGGTTCCAGTGGCTGTTTTCCTAGAGCCGTCTGAAAAGGAAAGTGATGTGTATGTTGGGATAAATAGTCATCGTGGAAAATTTCCCTCTCATGTCCTAGAAGCCACCAAATTAATGAGATTCTTACGAATGATGTCTGAGTTGCTGAGAACAGTTTCTCTACCTGTTTTACTGCCTAACCTTTCTTGCCTTTGATAGCTGTCCTAAGTCATATCTGCTGCTTTTTAGCCCACAGAGAAGCATTTTACTACCTCAGGACTTCCTTTCATTCCTGTTACACTTTCTAAAAGAAAATGGCTATCATCCTCATTTTACTCTGCTAACTCTTTCATGTCTTAAAATATAAAATCAAATGTTTTGCCTCCAGAGCAGATGTACTTCTTTCTATTCCCACTTGGTCCTGTACGCACTTTCAGATGAGTCGAGATGCTCACAAGACTAGCAGGATGTTCACTGAAACTCAGTAACTGATGATGGATAATTTTTCCTTTCTTATTGTGTGTTTTAATTTTCTCTGCTAGATTCTATTTCTCCCTGAAATACATTTCTTAAACATAGATCTATCAGGTTTGGCTTTGTTGGAGATTTCCCCTCTTTTTAGTTTATTTGAAATGGTCACAGGACCAAAACTGGGCCCCTGGTTTATAGTCCACATTTCTACAATTTTTATGTTCCTTGAACATAGTCTGAAAATTTTTTGAACCTTATAAGGAATCCTAATTTGAAAATTTTTTAATTTAGAATATTGTCATCTCTATAATACTTTGTTATGTAATTAAAAATCAATACATTGCTAAATATTGTGTCTGTATGCTTAACTGATAAAGCCATTTTGAAAATTAAAGAACAATAAATTAACTGAATCCTAATAAACTGAGATCCTGTCCATAGTCTACATATTTTGTATTGTTTATCCTTATACTCTATTCAGCATTTGGCTTTCTAAAGCATCTGTTACATTTATTCTCTCCTTAGGAAGAGATCTATCAGTTGTTTTATATGTATTCTCTGATCCTCTGTAGGTTTTTTATGACTTTGCGATGTGGCAACCAGAACCTTAGATGTTGCTTACCACTTAAGCTCTCCTGTGGGTTTACTATATATATTGCTTTGCCTCTTCCCTAGGAGACCAGGATCCTTGGTCAAACTTAACTGACCATTAAGTTAGCTTTGTGTCAGACAGACATTATGCCCAGGTTAATAAACATGGGCCCTAACACAGTTGTTGTTATGTTCCGTCGAGTTCCCTCCGACTCATAGCGACCCTATGTACAACAGCCCTGAACCCTGCTCTATTCTGTGCCAATCTTATTGCCTCAGACACATTTACCCCTATTACCCTAATCACTGAATCAATCCACTGCATCGAGGGTCTTCCTCTCCTGCACTATCCTTCCACCCTCCCAAGCATGACATCGCTCTCCAAGATCTGGTCCCTTCTTACATGTCCAAAGTATATCAGACAAAGCTTCAGAATCCTTGCCTCCAAGAAGCAGCCTCATTTAACCCTCTCCAGGATGAACCTGTTTGTTTTCTTAGCAGTCCATGATACATTCAATGCTCTTCTCCAACACCACAACTCAAAGGAATAAATTTTCCTTCTATCCTCCCTAGTAATTGTCCAGCTCTCTGACTCATAGCAAGAAATTGCAAAGACCATGGCAGAACATTTTGAAAATGCTTTTTCCTCCTGTCTTTATTCACTATAAAAGACTAATTTTTATTCTAGCTTTTAAAGATATTCATATATGATCAATATACAAATATAAGATGTGATCAATCAATACTGTTAAAAATTATTTATTTACTGATGGACCGTCTCCTCCCATGCAATTATGGCCTCTAAACATCCACTGGAGGGTCAGCTACGGGTCGGTTCTGACTTGACGGTACTCAGCAACAGCAGTAACAACCACCTATAGGTAGCAGTGAACATCATGGCCGTTGGAGTCACGTGATTATAGTAACTGAAGCAGTTAATTAAAGTTACACTTAGAGGATGAAGATCAACATGTATTAGGGAGTAATTACTTAGACATTCTTTTTCTCCTTTAAAATTTTAAGCTGCTCATCTGCATTATCAGAAAGCTAAGATATAAATTTACCACAGATTGTATTCTCTATTTCATGTTAGACTTGCACATATTTGCCCCCTTCCTTCCTGGTTCCTGACTTTCTCTGTTGTTTCAGTCTATACTTACTGGGGTCCCAGACATTGCTGAAAGAATCATTTACTATTCATGAATAAACAAATTCTTGTCTTCTACCCACAAAGTAGAAAGCTGAATAGCTTTCCTTACAGTGGATTTTACATTAGGAATAAACTTATTCTTTCTTGGGCCAACATTCACCCAATTAGCTGAATTAGAGTTGTTCTAAAATGACCATATTGTCTTTTTTTACACATTATCTCCGAGTAAACTTAGTGTATTCTTTGTAGGCATTATTTTTAAAAAATATCTCTGACGTACTCTCAAAGTGGATTAGCCATTTCCAGGAGGTGAGGTTGTAAATAAGAACTATTTTATTTATACTGTATATAATTTAAATGTTGTGCTTCACAGTAATTTTATTGCAAGACACATATAATTCTGTTTTTTAAAAGGTAGGCTGGATTTAGAAGGGGTCATGGTAGTAGGGATATTGTAGCTGATGTTAGGTGGATCTTAGCTGAAAGCAGAGAATACCAGAAGAATGTCTATCTGTGTTTCATTGATTATGCAAAGGCATTTGACTGCATGGATCATAACAAACTGTGGCTGACTCTGAGAAGAATGGGAATCCCAGAACATTTAATCGTGCTAATGCGAAACCTATACTTGGACCAAGAGGCAGTCGTCAGAACAGAGCAGGGCAACACTGCATGGTTCAAAATTGGGAAGGGTGTACGTCAGGGATGTGTCCTGTCTCCATACCTTTTCAATCTGTGTGCAGAGCAGATTATCCGAGAGGCGGGGCTCTATGAGGAGAGGCGTGGCGTTAGGATTGGTGGAAGATCTATCAACAATCTGCGTTATGCAGATAACACAATCCTGCTCTCTGAAACTGAGGAGGACCTCATGCACTTACTGCAGAGGGTCAAGGACTGCAGCCTTCAGTATGGACTGAGGCTCAATGTCAAGAAGACAAAAATTCTCACCACTGGACCAATCGGTAGCATCAGGATGGATGGTGAAGAGATTGAGATTGTTCACAGTTTCAGTCTGCTCGGCTCCATGGTCAACACTCTTGGCACCAGTAGCCAGGAAATAAAAAAACGTATTGTGATGGGAAAGTCTGCTGTTAGGGACCTCTCTAAAGTACTCAAGAGCAACGGTGTCTCTCTGGAGACTAGGGTGTGCCTGATACAGGCCATGGTTTTTGCAATCACTTGTTATGCATCAGAGAGTTGGACAATGACTAGGGAGGATAGAAGGAGAATTGACGCCTTTGAGCTGTGGTGCTGGAGAAGAGTATTGAATGTACCATGGACTGCCAAGAAAACAAACAGATTCATCCTAGAGATGGTTAAACCAGGCTGCTCCTTGGAGGCAAGGATTCTGGGGCTTCGCCTGACATACTTTGGACGTGTTGTAAGGAGACATCATCCTGGGTAGAGGCAATGAGATTGGCACAGGATAGAGCAGGGTTTAGGGCTGTTGTACATAGGGTCGCTATGAGTTGCAAACGACTCAACGGCACATAACAAACAACAAGATAAAATAAATCATGACTTGCGTATAATTGATGGTTATATAGATATTGAATTCTGTTCTTGATTCTTGATTCAAAATTTTTAGAATACCCTATAAATCTTGCTAACGTTAGTAAACATTTTAGCCAGCTTAATATAAATACAAAAATAAGTTTAGTACGATTACAGTCTATTAAAATAATAAAATACATTTTCTTACCATCTATAGCCAGGATCTCTGCTGTGTATATTCCATTGACAATATATTTTGATTTCTTATCAAATTCCCTAGAAAATTGTATTTCACCAGTTCGTGAATCAACTTTTAGCCAGCTGCCTGAATCACGTCCTATGATATATCTGTTTAAAGAAATAAGTTTCTCATTATGCTTTTGTAAAAGTTGATAATTTAAAAATCACTTTCCTAGAGTTTTAATGCTGTATGTAATGATAAAATTGATTCTAAATATAAGTTTGCATGTTTATATACAACTTTGACCATATAATGCACAGGTTCAGAAAGACTTAAAAAATGTATAATACTTACTCCTTTATCTTTTACTAAAATTATTAAGAAAAATGTGTTTGCTTCCAGACTGTTAGTTATCAGAGAGATACCAGAAAACAACAATGAATATCACTTTGCCCAAGCAACCATCACAACGTGCAGCAAGACAGAAAGCAACAAATACTGGCAAGGATTTGGAGAGACTGGAACTCTCAAACACTGCTATGAGAATCTGAAATGGTACCTCCACTCTGGAAAGCATATTAATGCATCCTTTGAAGATTTGGAATAGAAATATGATTTGATCCATCAATCCCACTACTAGGCATATATCCCAAAGAAATAAGAACTATGATATATACATATCCATGCTCATGTCAGTGTTATTTGCAATAGCTAAGAGATGGAAACAACGCAAGTGTTTCAAGAAACTATGGTGCATTTACACAATGACGCTCTTGCTTTCACAGCTGTCAAATCATTCCTGACTCTTGACAACTCCCTATTGGGTTTCCAGATTGTAATGAGAAAAGTCTGCTCATCTTTCTCCCACAGAACAACTGATGGATTTGAACTGCCAGAGATGCAACCTCTTGGGAGTGCAAAACTCTATGGTTTAGGTTCTCATAGCTATGCATTAAAAAGCAATTTACAAAGCACTTTACATGACAGGGATACATCTAGAGGGTGCTATGCCATAAGACCACTGTTAAAAAAGGAAAGGAAAAGTTTGTGTATATAATCATTCTTGGATGGTTTAAAGGGATGGCAAAGGTAAAGGTAAGAAGTGAAATTTAGTAAATAGACACTAAGCATATATTAAGACGGTTGAAAAGGAAGGCAATATCTGAAAAAGGATGGAAATCACAATAGAATTCAAGAAATGGAGGTCACAGAGACATAGAAGGGTTAATGGGAATCAGAATTATAGGGAGGAAGTGTACAAAGTGTGATCACATTGTGGATATTGAATCCAATGTTATTGGACAAAATATGCATGAACTGTTGAATGTAAAATTTATTTGCTTTGTAAACCTTTACTCAGATCTCAATGAAAATGAATTTTAAAATGTAGGAGCTTACTTAAGTTCTGCTTATTAAATTATAGCTCTGAAGCAATATTTTTTATTCATTTTTCATATGTGCTGTGATTACTTTGTCTGTTCTAGAAATATTTTTAATTATGATCTGAAAGTTCATAGAGTAGATTAGTTTTTCCATTCTGGCATTTTAAGACATATTAGTTTTGAACCTTTTTTTTGTTGGCCCGTTTAAAGGCATGGCACTCTTTGTTCAGATGGTGTTTGAAGAGCTTCACCTTGTTGAGAGAAGACCTAGAAGCATTTCAGGGTCTTAGTACCATTTATCTAACATACCCTCCCTTTCCTCCTTTGTGGTTTGATAATCCTGTGACATCTCTCAGTGTTGTTGTTGCTCTTATGTGCCTTCAAGTCTGAACTGATTCATAGCTGATCCTCCACAGGCTATAAATCACATGAAAGATGACATTTTTCTCCCATTGAGCAACTGGTGAATTTGAACCATGTACCTTTGAGTTGGCAGCTCAATTCCCTACAATGGAGTCAGCAGAGTTCCCTTGTCAGTTTGTTAACTGGCCCCAAATAATGAAATTGTTACTATCAAAGTGATTTTTAAGTCATTAGACTTTTCTTATGCCAAAGATGTTGGGAAGGAAAGAACAAGTGGACAGAAGGCAAAGAGAGAGAAAATACCTGTATAATTCACTGTGATTTTCCCTTGACTATTTTTTTTAAACTTGTTTTTAAAATTTTTTTTTTTTTAATGTGTGTACCGTCAAATTGGATCTGACTGGTACAGGAGGCAATTGTTCCTCCTTCTTCAGCAGAGCATCTGGTGGATTTGAACCGCACACCTCTGGGATTGCAGTACAGTTTCCTGCCACTAGGCCACCAGAGCTCACCTCCCTGACTATTTATATAGATCTAATTCCTGTAGACTATATATAATGTTGGTATTCTGAATACCCGTCTCTCTATCTCTAACTCTGAAATTGCTTATGCTTCTGTCTCTGAGACACTCATGTCTTAGCTTCATTTATTGTGTTTTTCTCCTTCTGTCCTTTTAGATGAATCAGAGAGTTGGAATTAGCCTCAAAGTCCTAGCTTACACTTGTTTTTGGAAAAGAACTAGTGACTCATCTTTTATGATATCTTACTGTTTATAACTTGACTTTATCAGTCTGAGTCAAGGGTGGTACAGATGGCCACAGCAGATCAGAGACTTACAGGGTAACTATGGGTGGACCCTTTCATCTTAGAATTGCTCCCAGGACACAATTACTCCTACTATCCAATTGTTGGGAGCTCTGGCTACGGAGTTGTGCTAACTCAAAGACAGGATGTTCAAATCTGCCAACTACTCAGTGGGAGAAAGATGGACACTCTTTTCCTATGTGATTTACAACTTCCGAACATCTGCTGGAAGGTCAGCTAGGAGTAGATTCAAACTTACTGGCAGTGAATTGGGTCTTTATTTGATCCCTTTGGGATAGTTACAGCCTCTAAAATTCTATTAAAAGGTTAAGGGAATGCTAATACCATAAAGGCCTTCTAAAATATAAGTCCACAAGAAAAAGAAAAACTCAAATAATCTCATGTAAGTCCTACTTGAATAACATTGTGTAGGACTCTGTCACATGAACATGGTGAAAGTACCCGTCGTACCTGACATTTGTCGCAGGATTTCCTGTGTCCAGATCTATGGCTGTATACGTGCCAAGTGCGTGATTTAGTAAGGAATCGCCTCTTGTGCCTTCTCTCACACTGAAAGTCATAGAGTTCGGCTGAAATGCAGGCCCCTCTCTCACATTAACAACCTGAATCCTCACAGGAGTAGAGTGCATTCTGAACTGAGATGCGACAGAGTGGTGAAATTCAGCTTCATTTTTAACTCCAATACTAAGATGAATATTCGGCATTTGTTCATAATCCAGTGTCTGAAACAATAGAAAATAAAAAGAATAATCAAAACCCCTCTAAAACAACCAATAGTCCTCTTCTTGATAGTCAGAAGCCATGATAAGCAATTAATATACCCATCCTCATTTACTACTGACTTACGTATTTTAGATATGTTATTCTCTTTATTTTTTGTTATGACTGGGGCGATTTAAGTCTGTGACTTTAAATTGCATTCAACGTCTAGAGTTTTAAATTGCTATATAAAACTCTGAAATACTATTTCTTTCCATTTGCTGTGTTTATGAATAAAAACAACAGCCAGAAAAGGTAGAATGAGGTTTTTGGTGCTTCTTTTTTCTTTAATAATTTGGGAGGAACTGGAGAGCATTACGCTGAGTGAACTAACTCAATCTCCTAAGGACAAATGCTGAGTACGACTGATATTGTAGAAATAGAAAGGTAACTAGTAAAATGTTTATGAGGTTTCAAGGGGGAAGCGGGGGGAGCAGACGGGTGAAGAGGGACAGGGGAAATCATCGGGTCATACAATTTGGTGGTGGGGATGGTGAAACAGGAAATGGAAAAGACCCAGTGGAGATCTTGAAAGACAGGGTAATGCTGGGCATAGTTGAATGGTGATTAATTTTATAAAACATAATGAATAGGAATGATTGTATGAAACATGGTGTGAATGAAGGATAGTGTGAAACAATGTATATAAACTTTGTAAGCAAACCAATAAAGAAAAAATAAAAAAATAGAATCAAGTTTTTAAAAAGATTTATAGAATAAATAAGAAAGATCTAGATTTTCCTTATAGAATTTGCATCTAAGAATCTCGTAAAAGTATAAACAGCAGAATAAAGGGGCTAATATGTATTTTGTAAATGGACCTATAATTATTTTTAAAATGATGCAAACAACTTCTAAAGGAGAATTTATGATTATTACAGTCAGCCCTAACTATAATTTTAATTGCTTTGTGTCTGGTGGACAAGAAGACTCCTTCATAGGACATATTCAAATAAGTAAACACCACTCCCAGGTACAAGTCACCTTTGAAATGGATTTCCTGAATAAAAGATGAGTAGAATCTTTGAATCCAGAGTGACTGATGTGGTGACATGAAAAGACACACGTGAAAAAAATAAACCACAACAGTTGCGTAAAGCTGAGTCCTGGGCGATGTCTGTTTAGAAGCACCCTGGAAATTAAGGATAATATCCCTCACAATATGTGTAGCAACAACAGAAGTGGCCTTAGCAAGACTAAATTAAACCTCTGCTCCCCAGAGAAATTCTGAAACATTATGGATGTTTTCTTTGCTGTTAGTGACAAATTCTTCAGAAGCTCTGACCAGAAAGGAAAAATTTGTAAGAATTTGCTTGGTTTCTTGTTAGAGGCTGGTGCTTTAGTGGACAAGTGGTAAAACGTTGCACTGCACTGCTACCCAAAAGCATGTGGCTTTAATCTACCAGCTGCTCCATGGTTGAATGATGGACAGTTTCCTCCTTTGTAGTTTATAGTCTCTGAAGACCGACTGGAGGATCAGCTATGAAATGGTTCTAACTCAAAAGTCAGATAATAACAACAAATGTATGCCTGGGGAGAGTGCTGTGTTGGCCTAGTGGGCAGGAAGTTATGCTACCAAGCCCAAGGTGGGTAGTTTTAATCTGTGGCCCTCAGGCCTGGTTTAAATTGTTTTTCTGTCAGACATTCTCCTAAGTGGTATAGCACTGGTCTATCCATTTGCTGTAAAGAGGTTAATTCGTGGTTGCTGTGATGCTAAACACTGTTGCACTGATGTGCCAAATGCGATAATGGTTACCCATGATGGACAGTGTTTGGTGGAGCTCCCCGATTAAAACAAGCTTGAAAGCAGGAGTGACATCCACTTCTGAAATGGCTTACCTCTGTACTTGGAGAAATGATGAAAGTTATACAAGGGTTCAGGTCTTTTGTTTATAGGGTCACTATGAGTTGTCTATGACTCAATGGCACTTAACAACAAAGACAATGCCTGCCTAGAATCTTAGCTAAAATTCTTGAGGATTGGTTTTATTTTCTACTTCTTTTGTTTGTTCTCCACCCATGTCCACATATTGCCTAGCACAATGCTAAATTCGGATTATGTGTTCAGAAATGAATCTCAACGAGAAGAGATGCCTTCTTTTAGAAATTATTTTTATAAGTCTATTCAAGATAAGTTGAAAATATGAGAGCATGAGTTAGAGAAATCTCTTAAGATTTTCTTGTGCATATACATTATTGTGCCATAATAAATCTCTTCCTTTTGAATAGAGCACAAGGAAAATATATGCACATAAAAGTGTATAAATTACAGAAATTCATGGACTTCAGGGAAAGAAAACGTGTTATGTGTCAGCTTGCAGGCATCTTCCCACCAGCAGGGAGAAAACTGAAGAGAAGGGAGGGAAGGAACTAACTTTTGTTCCTTCTGTCTAGACAAGTGGAATCTGTTTTCAAAGATTTTCTGATTATGCCAAGGCCATGGACATGCAAAGACCAACAGAAACTGCCATTGACTACAGTGCCTCTGCACAAGGTTAGAGTAGAGAGGCTGGCAACTCAGCTGTGTGTTGGCTTCTGTCGTGAGGTTCAGGAAAGGCCTGGGAATGAAGAGGATTCTGTCCAAAGGGGATTTGGCTTCTGGATGGGCTTTTGCTTCAATGAATTTTAGTATAGAAGCTAAGTTGTTAGTGCCTCATTATCAGTTTTTTGCATAACACGACACTACTAGTTCTAAGGGGACACTATTGTTGTTGTGTACTGTTGAGTTGGAGCTGACCCCTCGCTGACCCTCCAGCAGGTTTTCAGAGGCAGTTAATCGCAAGGGACAACTGGTGGCCTCGAACTGTGTGCCTTTAGGGATTACAGCACAGCTGCTTGCCCCCTAGGCCACGAAAGGGGATGCTAGGTCATTTAAGCAGTACGAGAGGGAAAGAGAGTTTGGTTTCCATCCACAAGGAGTACATACTGGCAGATAGCAAATGGTCAAATATCTGCTAGGGTGTATATGCACTGTTTTTCAGGAAGGGGTCTTTCCTGGCTCCAGAGTGTCTGGAGGAGACCATTCAAGCACACAGATGGGGAAGTAGTTTACAGAGGTGAACAGATTCAGAAGAAAATCTTCGGGTGCTGGTTCCACCCTCAAACTCGTTCTGCTAGTCCTCAATTACATAGTGATGTACTGGAGGTGGCAGTTACATTTGATTCTGTGGTTAGATTTGGGGTTACATCTTGTGTTGACATTTGTCATTTGTGTGAACTTAGATGATAAGGATGGCACAGGATAGGACAGGGTTCAGGTCTGTTATTCACAGGGTCGCTGTTAGTCATATCCGACTCAATGGCCCCTAACAACAACAACAACAACAACAACAACAACAACAGACACATTAATTTTCCGTTTTAATTCTCAGTTTCATTTTCACACTAATTTCTTCTCATTGTTAGAAGAATGAAATGACCTATGTTTAAAGCTCAGAGCACAGTAGTGGGAGGGTGTTTAGTGATCTTTAATGCTCTATTTATTATATTATCTGTATTATATTAACAAAATATATACTTGTTATATATGTATCCATCTATTAATCAATGATTGCTAATTGAAGTCTGTATTCACAGGTACAGAGAATTTTTGTTTTTCTTGAAGACTGTCTTGTTTGACTATGAGCTCCTTGAGAATAAGGACCATGTCTTGTTTATCTTCGTGTAATAATAGCAGTTTTCAGTAAACTGTGCTGACTTGTGAATTGTTGATTAATGTCCTTAAACTAAGTAAAGTGTTGTATAACTCAGTCTCATTGTCGAGTTGGAAGCTCCAGGGTTTTCAGAGGCTATAAATCATATGGGAGGAGATTGTCCATATTTCTCCCAAAAAGGTAACTTTAAATCCCCAGAAACGTGCCACCTGTGGGTTATTGAGGGACCATTTCCCCCAAGGTTAAGTGTGACTCGAATAAAAATGGAGAGTATGCAGCGAAATGTTAGAGACATCATTCTAAATGAATTTGGAATGCTTGAGTGGTCAACATTAGCTGTTGAAATACTAAAGAAATTAAGAATATATTCTCAGGGAGCTCTGGTGGCCTAGTGGCAAGAAGCTGCACTGCAAGCCCAAAGGTACACTGTTTGAATCCACCAGATGCTCTGCTGGAGAAGGAGGGGCAATCTCCTCCTGTACCAGACCAGTCAGATCTGATTTGACGGTACACACACAAAAGATAATAAAATAAAATATAAAATAAAATAAAAAAGAGAATATATTCTCTAACATAGTGAGTTATTTTGGCTATCTGCTAACATATATTACACTGACTTTAAATTTCAGTTTAGTTATAATTTCCATAGCATTTTGGTGTTAAACACAGGATTTTTCCCCCCCTGTGTTGTCTCAAGACATTTAGGAAATTGTTATTCAGGAAAAAAGTTGTACGTTGTCTACAAAACCACTGACTTTTTTCATGCAAATATTCCAGTAATATTTTTCAATAAGGTATACGTAATAAAAGGTATTATCATAGAGGACACATTATATAAGTCATAGATATTGCATTGCTAGACTTAGAAATCTTTTTCTTTTACATTTTTATGAAGAAATTAAATTATGAATTATGCCTCCTTTTCACGGGTATCTCAAACTCATTTATTGCCTTCTGTTTGGAATCAACTCATAGTTGACCCTCCACAGGGTTTTCTGAGTCTGTAAATTGTACCAGAGGAGATTTCCCATCTTTCTTTTGTGGAGTTGCTGGTGAATTAGAGCAGCAGAGAGGCGTCATCTTTGGACAGTAGCCCAATTCTGCCTCTAAGAGACATTTAAAAACTTGTCTGGAAGAACCTTCTCAGATCCCATACTGTACCTTGACAACTTTCAGAATGCCTTCATTAGTTTTAGGGTCTGTTTGGATATCGAACCAATTTCCTTCATTTCCAGAGAGAATGAAATATTTTGCCAACCAATTGTCAGTGCCTTCTTCATCCAAATCAATTGCTTGTAACCGTATCAGTTCTGAATTTAAACAGTTTTCTTCAATACTTGCTGAGTACTAAAATGACACAGATGACTTTATAATAATTGACGTTCAAAAGAGGAGAAATATTACTAATGTACAGGTATTATTTATAGCATAAAAAAAACCCCAAAAAACAAACAACTCAAAACAAAACTCAGCACATGGCAGTGCTTTTTGCATGGTTATTAAATGTCACACATTCAATAAGAAGTATAAAAAATTCTCCCAAGATAACAAAGTTAGTTTTTATATGTTGGATGGGAAATCTAAGTAAAAACTGACATTTTTGTTTTTCATCTTAGTTTTAATTTTCTCCCCTTTTTAGCATAAAACTGCATTTCTTTTCTAATAAAGAGCCATGTGGGGGATTTACTAGGATTTATTGGCCAGAGAGGCCCAGTCCTTCCTAACTACAATTGTATAGCTGGAAAATAATATTAGTTACAATGTGAGAAAATAAAATGCAACATGTAAAAAAATAGTCATGACTATAGGCCAAGAAAACTTTTCCCTCCACTAACACATATGATAGAACTTATTTGGCATGTTGTTTTGAAACTTTATACTTCTTTATGCCTAAAGATAATATCAAAGTTGAGAATGCTATTGGAGTTCATTTACCAAATAATCTGCTCTGTAAAGATACATCAGTTATTGTGACTGTATTCCTAAAGTTTATATCAACGAATTTCCATTTCAGGCTTTGCTCAAATCTTTGTTCTAAAGAACATTTGACTCCACTCAAATCTTTGAGTAAAGCCTGGAGTTGCAGTTCGGAGAGAAAATTTGTACAGCCTTGTGACTCAAAATCAAACACTGCTAAAGTATGTAAATAAGGAATGCCAAGATTTATATAGCAAGCCCCAGTGCTTCCATACATATGACCAAATTAGATTTAATAACCAGCAAGAAAGCAAATTGACTGTTACCACTTTAAAAAAAAAACCAAAAAACAAAAACAACCAGACTCCGTAAGAAGGAACTTACTGAAGTTTTCGTTAATTTGGGGAAATTATCGTTGACATCTAAAACCTTGATTCTACAGTCACAGTTGGAAGACAGTCCATCTGCAGCTCCATCCCGATCTGATCCACTCACAAGGAGGGTGTACATACTGTGTTCCTTAATTAGGATGCAAAAGAATTGTAAAACTTGAGTGAAATATAACATATTCTGATGCTTTTCATTTTGCATACACATCAAATGAAATCTATATGAATGAAGTTTTAGGTTTTCATTTAAAAATACTAGTAGGCTTTACCTCTCTGTCAAGAAAGCTGGACATGGTGCGAATCTCCCCAGTGTACCTGTTCAGAATAAACATAGGTGCACCTGCAGGCTCCTGAGATACGATCTTGTAAGCGATTTTAGAATTCAGATGATTGTCTTCATCTGCATCTGTGGCACTTAACTTTATAACCAGTGTGTCTAGAAATGAAGACGGAGTTGGAGAGTGTTAAGGACTCTGTTAGAATTAATTCAGCAAATCATCTGGCTGGTAGGTGGTAGGTAGAATGGCTAGCCTTCTCCCAAATGCTCTCTGTTCTAATTTCTCACCAAAACACATTTACATGACTTTCAGCAATATAAGTGCTTGGAAAAAAATAATTGCTGTTTGCTTTTTAAAAAAATGCTGCATTGCAAACATTTATGTACTGGAATTTGTTAATCATTTAAGCTTTCCACTCCTAAGAGATATTCTAGACATAGCCTCGCATTCACGTGGTCCATTACTAACAAAATACAGTGATTTTGAATATGTGAAAAAGAAGTTCAGTAGACTTTCTGTGCCAATATAATGCTGAAGAAACCAGTTTTATCATTTTGTTCTTACTCCTGTCTTGTCTCAAAAATTAAAAAAAAAAATTGCATAAAAAAACCATGTTGTTGTTAGATGCCATTGAGTTGACTATGACTCACAGAGACCCGATGAACAAAGATCTAGACTCAGTCCTGTCCTGCATCACCTCCACCATCTCTGTCATGCTCAAGCCTATTGTGGAGGTCATAGCATCAATCCATTTTATTGAGGGTCTTCCTTTCTTTCTCTGACCCTCTACCGTTCTCAGCATTTTGTCTCTGCCCAAGTGCTGATACCACCTGGCAGCATGATCAAAATATGCAAGACAAAGTTTCACCATCCTTGTCTCTAAGCACTCTGGTTGCATTTCCTTCAAGACAGATGATTTGTACTTTTGAAAGTTCGTGGTATATTTAATACTCTTTGCCAAAATCATAACTTAAAAGCATTGGTTCTTTTCCTGTTTTATTAATTTATTGTTCAACTTTCAGATGAACAGAAAGTAAATTAAAATACCAGCCTTGGATCAAGTGCACCTTAGACTTCCAATTGATATCATTGCTCTTTAGCACTTTAAAGAGGTCCTTGAAAACAGATTTCCTCAGTACAACATGTCTTTTGATTTCTTGACCATCTTGGTACCAGCAGCCCGAAAATGAAAAGATGAGTTGCATTAGGAAAGTCCAAAGATGTCAGTCTGGAGACTAAGGTGCACTTGATCCAGGCCATAGTCATTGCAGTTACTTGCTATGCATCAGAGAACTGGACAATTACTAGGGATGTTAGGAGAATTGATGAATTTGAGATGTAGTGCTGGAGAAGAGTATTGAATAAACCATGGACTGCTAGGAGAACAAACAGGTTTGTCCTAGAGAGGGTAAGACCAGGCTGCTCTTCAGAGGCAAGCCTTTTTTTCTTCTGAAGCTTTGTCTGACCTAATTTGGACATGTTGCAAAGAGAGACCAGTCCTTGGAGAGGAATATCATGCTTGGGAGGGTGGAGGGACAACACAAGAGAGGAAGACCCTCAATGAGATGGATTTATTCAGTGACTGGGATAATAGGGGTAGGTGTGTCAGAGACAATAAGATTGGTAAAGGATATAACAGGGTTTAGGACTGTTGTACATAGGGTCACTATTAGTCACAGGCGAATAAATGACACATAACAACAATAACAATAACCACGGGTGATATAGTATAATTATATTTAGTGTTGCATCTACGTATTTGACATCTACTTTTTATTGCCATTCACCCAGAAAGTGCTTGAAAATACCATTATATCCAATAATCACGAACTTATAAAGCAGGTAACCTAGATAAATACTGAAGGACATCAACTCATAGGACCTGTTTCCAAGGATAGAGGGGTCTCTTATGTTCTTTTGCTTTGCAGATGACTTCAAAATGAAAAATCCTAGCAGGGAGAAGCGGAAATTCTCCTCAGTCAGATCAACTGTGACTCAAGTTATTTTTCAGAAACTTTCCTCAAAGGAGGAAGCATTAACAAGGTTGCTAAAAACAAATAGCCACTCAGTTGTGAGTTTCACCTTCTCTTCCATCATCAAAGTTGTCCTGATGTGTTCGAAGAAACAAGGATAGACTTTGGTGTCTCTTTATCTGCTTTGCCTCTCTTGGCTTTATATTCTATGTCCTCGTTCCCCCACATTAAACAACACTTGTGCTTCTTAATTTTCAATGTCATCTATTTTAGGGCATCTGAGGTTCAATTTCTTCTGAAAATTCCTCTCTAAGTCTGTGTTTTGATGTCACTTCTCTTCTCAACTTTGGAATTTCCTTTCCTTTCCCCACCAGATATCTGTACCTTGTGTTTTCTTCGACTCTCCATAAATATATCTCCCTTGTTTTCTTATCATTCTTCTCACAATTTCCCTGCTATTTTCCTAAATAAACTATTTAGGAGATTTGTTTATAAATATTTTTACAAATAAAATCACAAAAAATGCTTTTTATCTAACATTGTGAGAAGAATGAAAGAAGAAAGGGGAAGAAGGTAAAGAGGGGAAAGAGCATGAAGAATATAAGAAAAAACCCCACCAGGATGCATAGAATGTAAAGGAGAAGACTTTAGGAGAACTTCTATAAAGAGATTGAGAGAGAAGGGTATGAGAGTTGGAGTAAGGTGAAAGGAAAGAAAGAAAACCCCCAAGTATGAGAACTTGACTTGTTGTGTAGATGGTAAGATTAATCTGATGAATAAAGTTGACTGTGGGTCTTCTATTCAGCATGACTGAATCAAGAAGTTTGATGTTCATGATTTCTACCTCAGTTTACTAATTTGACTAAATTGGTCATGAGCCCAGTGACCATCTATGAAGAAGGTGGTAAATACACACTGAGTCACTTGTGTTAGATTTCTCCATAAGCAAGGATTATTTGCTATTTCAGACCAAATGCTTTCTAAAAACCTCCTCTATTGTGTTACACTTTATGGATTTCCCCCCCAAAACTATATATTTAATGTAAAACCTCTTTACATTACTTTTATTTTACTCTTCTACTGTTTTTGACCCAGAGAGAAAGTGAATAGACAGAAAAGGAGTGCCATTCTACTTACTGGCATCACTGTTTTCTTCAATGCTGGCTGTGTACACATTTTGTGTAAATACTGGTGGATTATCGTTTACGTCCATAACTTTGACTCGAAGCTCAAGAGGTCTTTCTAAATCTTCACCCCGGGAATTCAGAGCCCGGCAATAGATCTGTGGGAATTTGGGAAAAAACCCAAAACCAATCCATCTTTCTCAACAAAAGAAAATGAAATAATATGTTTGAAAATATAGGTGATGTTCAGAAAAACAGTTTTCCTGTGAACTGCACAATAGTTTAGTAATTTGAAAACCAGCAAGGCATTTGGTGACAGGTACATGCAACAAATTAGAAATTTTTAGGCATAAAAATTATAACCTGTTATATTTTAATTTCTTCAAGTTCTTTATTGAACTTTAGTTTTTCATGTTTTATTAAAAATAAGCAATTGCCTGATATGTTGCATTATTTTTAAAAAGGAAGAAATACTAGTTTGAATAAATGAAAACTTAACTAGTCTGACTTACCAGAAAAATTGGAGTTATCTCCCTGTCCACCACTGAAGTGATATTGATTTCACCAGTACGAGGATTAATGGTGAATACTCCATAAGGTGGTCGGTCAATCCCCACGCCAGAGATGCGATACGTAATCTTCTGGTTCACTTCACAGTCTGATCGAATCTACAAGGAAAATAGCTAACACTGTGATCTCATTTAGAGCAGATCATGAATTTCAGAGGTTAGTGGAATGACTTTCTAGGGTGTAAATCTTATAGCCAGATGAGTTTTAGATTGAAGCCAGACACCATGACTTGGTCCTGTGTGACTTTGGACAATTCAATTAACTTCACCAAGCACAGGATTATAAAAATGATAATACCACCTATATGGTCTCTGTAAGTCGGAATTGACTGGATGATCTCGAGCTATCGCCTAGTGTTGCTGTGGTGAATTTATAAGGTATATCCTATATAGAGACCTATTCAATTCCTGATATACTATTTTTTAAAAAAATTTATTTTATTATTTTTTTGTGTGTTTACCATCAAATAGAATCTGACTGGTCCAGGAGGAGATTGTCCCTCCTTTTCCAGCAAAGCATCTAGTGGATTCAAACTAAGAGTCTCCGATTCAAATCCACCAGATGCTCTGCTGGAGAAGGAGACAATCTCCTCCTGTACCAGTCGGATCTGATTTGACGGTACACACAAAAAAATAATAAAATAAAATTTAAAAAACGAACAAAATTTAGAAACAAACCAAGAGTCTCTGGGATTGCAGAGCAGCTTCTTGACACTAGGCCACCAGAGCTCGCTCTGATTTTTTTTTTTTTTTAACTTTTATACTGGTTTATTTACAAAGTTTACACACATTGTTTTTCATATCAAATCTTTCCCGTTTGCTTCATCCTCCTCATCAAATTATGAGGCCCTATGATTAATTTCCCCCCATCCTCACCCCTCTGCTTCCATCCCCTGCCCCCCAGATCCTCATATTCTATAATAATGCTTTTTTATATAGTATTTGTTCTTATGGGACTGAGTTAGTCACTCACCATAATGCTCTCCACCATAATGCACGCAAACAGTTTGACAGAAGAAACTTAAATTATAGGGATCCATTGACTATACATTATCCCTTTAACCCTCACTATTAATAGCAACTATTTGTGAAAATATTTTAGAAACTTCTTAGTTTTTGGATCTAGAGATCTAGCGAAAACTTTTGTTTTTCATCCTGCTTTTCTTGGAGTGAATTATCAAATACTATAAAGCCTTGATTTTCCATAGGCATAATCTGTAGCTATGTACATATGTAGATATGTATATTAGCTTTTTTGATAGCATCTAACTATAATATATTGTTATTGTTATTGTTATTGTGTACCGTCGAGTGAGAACTGAGCCATAGCTGACCCTCTGGTGAGTTTTTACTCACACTGAAGGAGATTGCCCGTCCTTCACCCATGGAGCAGCTGGTGGATTAGAACCAAACACTTCTGGGATTGCGGCATAATTTCTTGCCATTAGGCCAACAGAGCTCCCTGATTACAACATAAGATTCCTATAACACACACACACACACACACACACACACACACACACACTGATGAGTAGAACACAATAAACAAAGTACAATTGTCTGAGGTATCCAATTTCTCTTCTAGGCGCCTTGCCTGTTTTTAGCAGGCTCCCAGAACACAGTAGTGACGTTGATATCTCAGTAACATGAGCAAATGACTACAGGCAACTTGTCTTTAAATCACTAGAGAATTTCAAAGGCTTCAGGTCCTTAACATACTGGAGGGATATCCTGTCTCACAAAAACTTTTGTTAGCATCCTAGGATAACTGCTCATTTCATCACTTACTTTGGCAATCGGATTCCTCTTTGAGTTGTCTTCACCCTCTCTACATGCCGCAGCGAACTTGATCCACTCTCGCTTTTGTCTTCTCACCGTCTGCCATTTTGTAGTGCCATTTTCCATATCTAATTCTTTCACCTTAAGGTAGAATGGTTCACATAGCTTAGAGTCTCAGAAAAAAGGGTTACTTGCAGTAAGTAATTGCATTAAACATTTTATTATGTATCCAGAAGGAACAACGGCAATGGACTTGATGAACCAAGAAACTTTTGCTAATTCGTAGTTGAAGATAGATATGTCTTAGTTGCTCCTACCTACAAACTTCTTTTGGCATTTTCTCACTTCTAACCATCAAATTCTAATGAAATAAGTTTAATTAGCTATCCATGGAAGTCAAAATTTGTTCCACTACGTAATCTGCAGTTTTTTCATTTCTCATTTGGTGTACATCTTGCCTATCTTATCTTGGCTTGAGTTCTGACAAAACATGGTGAACATAACTGATGCCATTAAACTATTCAGAGTGTTTCAATGGGAGGGCATTGCACGCAACATAAAAGTTGTTTAGGCGAATTGTTCTTACCTAAATAAGATAAGGGAATTTTTCTCCCTCACTGATAACACCATCACTACATGTATGATTACAAGATGAAAAAAAATATTGACTGAATTGATAATTCTTATAATAATTCCACAGGCACCTATTTGGTGTCTCAGTGGTATACATTTACATCTTTGCTCTATAAATATTTTTCCCACTGTAGGTTTTTGTTGCTTTTGTTGATGGGTATTTAGGAAATACTACCAGTTTAGAAATATCACTACATACATAAACATGTGTTTGCATATACTGATGTACTTAATAAATATACTAACATTATTTAAGCCGTTTATTTAAGTTAAGCTTCACTTAACTACCACTTTGGGAATATAGATGTTCCATATCAATGGAGATTATGCTTTTCAAAACAAACTACTTATATTTTGACTCAATTTGATAAAATTTTCTGAAATGTACCACTCATTTCCTACTTTTTTGGGTCAGTTTTACTAGTAATATTATTTTCCTTATGATTTAAAGATCATCATATTGAAGAGTTAGCTACTATTTAGAAAAAGAATAGATTTCTTTTTCTGATCCCACTCATTCTGGAACCAGCTTCTCTTTCGTATTTGGTTGTAGCAAAATAATCTTGAATCTTTTTGCAAAGATAGATCATCACTTGTCTTTCTTGTTGATATGAGATGCTTTTCATTCTAAAGCTTTACATTGCTTCTCTTGCTTTGCTGTAGGTTGGGAAATGTATTTGCTATAGGTTGAGAAACAAATTACTAAATTAGTTTAATGTGTAGGAGTTACTAGACAAGACATTGTACAAGATATTGAGTTGTCACAAATTGCCCCAAAAGATGGAAATTGGGGGCTATAGGTTTTACCATTGTTATTTCATTTCAGATGAGATATTCTTAATTTCTTATGGATGCCTATAGTTATCTGATTCTTGATATATAAGATATCACAAAATTCACTTTTATAATTTTAAATTTAGGAAATAACTTTATGATACATTACCTCAACAATAAATTCACTGTTTACCTCCAGCACCACCTGCCATAGAAAGCACAAGATTAGCAAAAAATGTGCATGATGTAAAAGGAGCAATGTACAAACACTGTCAATGCTATTGACCTAACTAGTTCTTAAATAAATTGTTGTTGTTATGTGCCGTCAAGTTAACTGCAACCCATAGCAACCCTATGCACAGTATCTCGGAACCCTGCTCTATCCTGAGCCATTCTCACTCTCTTAAATATTGTTGTTGTTATGTGCTGTTGAGTCACCTGTGACCCATAGAGACTATGTACAACAGCTCTAAAGTCTGCCCTGTCCTGAGCCAGTCTCACGGATTCTGACACACCAACCCCCAATGCTCCAGTTATTGTATCAATCCATTTCATCGGGGTCTTCCTCTCCTGTGCTGTCCCTCCACCTTTCCGAGCACTATGTCCTTCTCCAAAGACCGGTTCTTAAGTATACATCTTGCTAATTATATGGAAACTGTATGGGCAATAAAAACTTAATAATCCAGGCTTTTGCGTGACAAAGGCTTTTAAACTGTTAGAGAAGAAAAACATTTAACTCTAGATCAAGGCAAAGGTTGGGATAAATAACAGAGGCACCAGTGACTCAAGGGAAGGACAGAACAGACAATTCAAATCACCAAGGTCAATGCTGAGAGATTCTTATGTGAATAGTGATTTGGAAGGACTGTGCAGGACTAATGTAGTTACATAGCAGGAACTGACGGGAAAGGATGTTAAAGCCAGAATTAAACATGAACATGGGGGTAAATGTGTTTTAGAGGATGTTCCAGGGAAAGCAATTAATCACATTAGCAAGAAGAAAGAGGAAATAGTGAGGAGTCATGGAGACAAAATTTGAAACATCAGATCATATAATTCCCTGCACGCAAAGCCAGGGAGTTTGAATTTTAGTGTCTAGAGACTGAGAATGACAAGACATTGTTTTTTTAAACTTGTCATTGATAGGAAGGGAAGATCACAAGGGAAAAGCACTTGATGTTGAAGTGCTTAGGAATTTATAATAGGGTGGGGGGACTTCGTTAGAAAACAAACATAGCTCTGAAGTGACTTTACAAAACAACAGAATGGAGATGTTAAAATGAACTGATAGATGAGGGAAGGCGCTCTGGTGGCTTAGTGTGTAGTGTGTTATGCTGCAGACCAAAAGGCTGAGAGTTTCTGGTGGTTTGAATCCATCTGATGCTACTCGGGAGAAAGATGCACAGTCTTCCCTCATTAAGACTTAGAGTCTTGAATACCCAGTGGAGGATTTCTGTGAGTTCAAATTGACTGTATGGTATTAAGTGTTTTGATAGATGATATGCTGCCAGGAGGGAAGGAATCAAATGATTCTGGATATTCAAGGCTGGGCCTCTAGGAGAGTGGAGTCACTCTTAATAGAATTCAGCAGGGGACTCTCACCACAGGGAAAAAATGATTTAACTTTATTTTAATGTGTGCATTATCATCTGCTCTGTGGGAAAAGATGTGACTTTCTGCTTCTGTAAAGATTACAACCTTGAAAACCTATGAGGCAGGCTTACTTTGATTCACAGATTCCTGTGACTTGGAATAAACAACAACAGGTACGATTGCAATCCAGGGTTAATCATAAAAAGATATACTTTAAAAATTTAATATTGCACTTGGGGGGAGGGACTGTATAACAATGAAAGAATGTATCTTTTACTTTTCAAAGAGAAGAATGAACTGGGAGGGAGGGGTGGGCAGGGAGAAAAGTGCAACAATGAATGAATAGAAAGCCAAAATCTCTGTAAATGTTCATTAAAATTAATAATACTGAAATTTTTTTAAAAAAATTAATATTTTATTGTGTTTCAAGTGAAAATAAATGTAGCAAATTAGGTTCCACCCAACAATTGTTCTACACATTTTCCTGAGCGATTGGTTACCAACTTGACGATATGCCAGCATTCTCTTTCTTTTCATTCTGTGTTTTCTTTTTCCCATTAATTTTGCTGCCCTTCCCCTCCTTGTTTTCTCTTCCTTGTTTTTGACTACAGCCTGCTTAGGAAACTCTGGTGGTCAGGAGTCACTCTACTACTCCAAAGTCAGCACCTTTTCTGGAGATTGGAATCTACCACCAGGGTTAGAGATTGCCAATCTCCTCCCATGTGATATACAGCCCAAAAAACCTGCCCAGAGGTCAGCTGTGCACCAGTTCCAACTCAGTGGCCCTGGGTTGGGATCCACTGATTGGTCTCAGATGTTTAGTTGTATAAGGAAGCACATTACTCGCCTTATTTTATAAGTCAATCTGTTATGTGGTTAAAAAAATGACTTGCCGAAGTAACTTAATTCCAAAGATACTGTTTTATGTTTTAGATTGAAGAACCTCTACCAACTAAATGGTTGGTAGAGGAAAGATTTGTGGTGAAAAAGAGACAGAGACAAACGAGGAGAAGAATGAGGAAAAATAAGAATAATTAAAGAAAAGAATGTCTTAATGATAAGAAACTGCAATCCTGAAGGCTTGAGGTTTGAATCCACCAGCTGCTCCAAGAGAGACAGACAGGCAATCTCCTCCTGTGCAATTAACTGCCTCTGAAGACCTGCTAGGGAGTCAGGTAGGGGTGGGTTCCCACTTGATGGTGCACAATAACAACAAATGTTTAAGAGAGATTAAAAATGAGAATTGACCCTGACAATGAGAGAGATTAGTACTTTTTCTGTGCAGGAGCAGGTTATCAGCAAGAATCTCTATCTCCTTGTCTTGAGCTTTGCACATTTCTCCCACTCCCTGGACCTGTCTTCCTGTGTTCTCTGTCTCCTCTTTGTGACTCCTTCACTTGCTCCTCTTCCCCCTCCCCCACTCCCCCATTTCACCTTAGGCAGAGGATTACAAGTGGCATCGTTATTTTGCCCACTCACCCACAGTCTGGGAGAACAAGTGGAGCTGCAGAACCTCTAAGCTATCATCACCTCAATAACCTAATTTTAACTTGAAAGTAGTTACAGGGAGTTCTCACTGGGGTTTTGCTCATAGCTAACTGGGAGAATGTGGTGGGTAATTTCCACTTTTGAGTGACACACATGTTCCTCCTGAATCCTTTTTACTTAGAAGAAGTCTGAAAGGTTAGTGTAACATTTACACAGTGTTAGTCTTATAGTCATACAGTGAGGTTAATAATTTGAAAGTGGACTAAAATCTCTGCTGTATTGATTGTTTCATTGACTCCACACCTACAGCTTCTCTTGATCATCTGATACTGTTTTACTGGTTTTTTTTTTATAATTATGCTTGCAGTTTGGTCTCATAATGGTGGCTGTGATCTAGATAAATGCACATGGTTTGTCTTGACTATTGCTGTGCCGAGGTCCTCCAAAGTTTCCAGTCTGTGAAATCACTTCCCCTCCTTTTTATTTATTTTTTTTAAACTATATACTTCCTGCATTTTACTGCAGTGCTATTTAAAAAAATTTTTACAAAGTCAACCTCAAGCTTGAATTCAATCTCAGCTCACAACAACCCCCCATCAAGTTTCAAAGGCTGTCAGTGGGAAGGAGGCGACCTCCCATTCTTCTTCAGAGGAGCTGCTTGTGGATTTGAACTTTGAGTTGCTAGATACCTGACCAGTTTTGTAGGCAGACATTCAGTCTTTCAAATACCCCACCACATAAGGTATGAAAAGTGGTACTTGCTCAAAGATAAAGCCCTGAAACTAGGAAAGGGTAAGAGAAATAAGCGGAAACAAAACTGACAGGGAGCGGGGGAAAGTGTGACTACATTGTAATTATAAAACAATATGTGAATGAGTGGTTGAATGCAAACCAGATTGCTTTGCAATCTTTCACTAAAATCACAATCTAAAAAATATTTTTAAAAAAGTATGAGCAGTTACAGAGCATTCAATTTAAGAATGTTGTAAATAATGATGGTTTAAAACTGTTACCCTATTTAAAAAAATGGAGCCAATGAGATATAAACTTTATAGTTCTTTGATAACCAGTGAGATAGATTAAAATATACACATGAATATGTTCTCCTTTAATACAAGGGAGAATTATTTTATTCTAATTTCTCTTTGACCTTCTTTTTCTATTCAATAAGCATTATCTCCTTAGGTTTATTCTACTGAAATATATTTTTAAATACATTTTAGTGCTCTTATTGGCTTCTGTACCTGATTTCCCTGAAATGATAGTATATACTATGTAATGTATATTAATAGAAATGATAATGACAGGGAAGTGAGAAAAAGGTGAATACTTTGTAGCTATAGTTAGTACATCATTGATCAAACAATATGCACATTTTGAAATTGTGATAATATTCTGTTTTAAAATATGTTGTTGTTGTTGCATGCCCTTCAGTCAGACCAACTCATAGCCAACCCTTAAGTGGGTTTCCAGAGGTGGTAAATTGATGGGAGTAAATTGCTTACTTCTCCTGTAGAGCACCTGGTGGATTTGAACTGCATGCCTTTGAGATTGCAGTGCAGCTTCTTACCACTAGTCCACCAGAGCTAAATGTACAAAGTAAAATTTTATTTGAAATACATTTCAAAAATATAGACAAAGCTTTCAAAAATGTTCATTCATGAATAAGTATTATTTGCTTCTAGAATTGAATAAATGCAAACATCAATCCTATTGTATTTATAAATACTGAGAAAACTTGTTCACAAAAATAGGAAAATGGTTTTGGGAAATTGATATTTCAGTTACAGAAGTCATTGCACTCCTTAAAGTTATTGTGAATCACTTTGTATAGAATCTACAATCTATCATTTACAATTATTCTCAATGACCTATTAGCTGACAATTGTGTCAGATCTTCCTTAAATTTGTTGATGGGGGCTGTGTTCTCATAGTCCTTAGAGAATAAGGTGGTGCTAACTCAAAGGTGGCTCCTCTGATGGTTTAAATCCACCAGCACGTCTGTGAGAGAAAGATGGACTGTCTTCTTCCATGTGATTTATACCATCAGAAACCCAATGGAGGGTCAGCTGTGGGTTGGTACTAACTCTACGGCAATGAGTGCATGAGTAAGTAAGTGGGTAAATTCACTGAGAACCAATGATTGGAAACTACCTGATTAACCAGAACCATTATTATGCTAATTTTA